CGCTCGGCTCTCGACTTCACGCGTCAACTAGTTTTCCGCAGAGATTTGTATGCAGGTACACATCTGCTCACAATTATAATAACTATCCATCAGCAAGTCGTGATACGGTGGAAATCGGCTCTATCTCGGCCCTACTGCTGCTTAAGCTATTTGGAAGATCCTTTTCTCAGCCAGCCTGTTGTGTGTGCGTTTGAAGAGCGACATCGACATGCTGATTCTCGGATATGCCTTGTCGCCGATGATATAGTGCCTCGAAAAAGAGCATTACGGCCGACGACGATAAAGGTCGCTCTGCTTGAAAACCCGTGCATCATGCACAGAGGACCCACCTACATCCACATAAAGAAATGCGCTTTCGCATTTACACACTGCTGTAACATGTAAGCTCGGCCCGCCTTCCGATTGATGTAACAGTGGCCATGATTCAGTATGGGTCTAAACTTCAATGGAACTATGCTGACATCCCAAAATCGATGTAGGCTTTGGATGTTGTTTGTCATGCGCGAGGCATGACAGAGTGGCGAATGGTTTTGGGAAATGTAATGTGAGATTGGCGAATGTGATCCAGTGAGCAGTGATCCCCAACATCGGCTTCTGGTTGGGGCTTGTTCTACCTGCACGTTCCGAACGCAGGGTTTAAGTCTGCTGAAGCGTGGGACGAGAGGAATGAGAAATTCGGACATTTAAACAAATTCTACCTTGTCCAAAATTTGACCAGACTCATCCTGCCACGCCCCGCTGACATACTGACCGGTGAGGACCCTGGAATAACGGAGATTGAGGAATATCCTGTTGTCGACTGGAAATGAAGACTGTCGGATGAAAAACGACCGAGGCCGGACATCACTCTCTGTTTAAAGCCGAAAGCTTTCACCACAACGCAGCTGAGAAGACTGGAAAATTACGATCAATTAAGGCCAGCAATGTTCGCGGAAGGGCTGTTTTTCCCATTCTTCGCGTGTGAGGTGAAGGCCCACAACGGCAAATGGGATGAAGGACTAAGACAGGAGTTTGGTGCTGCGGCTACCTATGTTGACGCAATCGTTCAGTTGTGCGAGGCTGTCAAACCTGATGAGGTTAACCAGATGCAGGGCCAGATCCTTGGCTTTGGCATGTTGCACAACCATGAGAAAATTGAAATCTATGAACACTTCTTTCTCAAGGACGATGACAAGAAGGAGATCAACTACGATCGCCACAGGTTTTCAACGTCCAAGTCAGCGAAAACTTTGAAGTGAATCCTGACTATGGCGCCCCGGGTGGGAGACATACAGATCGCAGGATGAGTAGTAAATCTGCTGCAATTATCCAGGGGCTGTACACAGACTTTTATGTCTTGCACAAAAAAATAATCATAGATTATGTGAACATGCTGTCTAACGCAACCGATCTACAAGTGGGCTTCAACCAGGAGCATCTTCAAGCGACATCCAGCAAGAGACAAAGGACTGCCGCCAACGCTACTTCTACTGCCCAGGCTAACAATAAAGTGATCGCGACTAAGGATGAAGTGATTGAAAGTTGGAACAACAAGTTCAGCAAGTGCGTGTGGATAAGGATGCAGAGATCGAAAGGAATAATCAGGCAAATGCCAAAGTGATTGCGACTAAAGTTGAAATTATTGCGATGAAAGTCGCAGAGAACGAAAGATTGCTGCAACAGTTGCAGCAGATGAGGGAGGACGCGCATGAAGACAAGCGCGCTCCTTTGCAACAAATTGGGCTCTTCCAACGTCAATATGAGAGTCTACAAGTGGAGTTGCGCAAGAATCCAAGGCCGAACTAGCCGCCGAATATTAATCAAGAATGATTACAGAACGACCAGCGGGAGCACATGGAAAATTTTGTATTTAGAAGGACTCAATATGTGTGTCAGGGTACGCGTTGGAACTATGTTGTCGCGCGAGGAGATGACTCCAGGCGCGCTACCTCTACTACAGAGAGCACGAACCCTGTCGGCATTAACCGTGACAATGTAATACACACAGGTGATATTGATCAGTTTAGTTGTAGTAGCTGTTGTCATCAATCATCCCATTCCTTGCCTCCTCGGCAATTATTCTATTGACCATCAATCGCTCCCCTTGGCTATCGTGATCTCGGACTATCTTGGACCCCGTTTATTGATATCGACTGATATTTTCGCCATCTAAGCATCCCAGACCTTGCCATAAGCTAACAAAGGTGCAGTAAGACTTGGGTCTCGCGGGAAACTCGCATTACCAATAGATACCATCATAAAGTCTGCATCTCCATCTATCTCATCTTTCCACGCATGCTTGACCAAATGCTCACTCGTATATCATTACAGCTTGGACCATTCTATCGTACTTGCAAAGCCTCTTCCATAGCCACGTCGTCTTTCAATAACGTCGAATACTCCGATATCATACCCACAGACGGAACCGATCCCACGACCTCTCACCAACACCACCTCTTTTCTTCACGAGGATGAAGAGCTCGAGCACTAGGGAAGAAAGAGCCAAGAGGCTATCCTGTTGATGTTAGTCGAGAGCCAGTCCCGATAGGACTAGGGTGACCAGTAAACTCATCTCCTCTAGAGTCTTAGTAAAGAGGTAGCAGCAACAACATCGTCTTTCATGTCACTTCCCATTCCTATATTCACTAATTTACGCATTCTTTCAATCAACAGGCTATCTCCATATGCGACAAGGAAGCTTTATATCGCAAACACCCCACCAAATCAATTAATGCAGTCCGTACTGGAGATTTGATGGATTCCGCATTTCTGCTCGGGGCAGGGGTGTAGAACATCGGGAGAGGCTCTCATATTAATCCAAGTTATGTGTCCACCAAAAGTACCTCCATCAGACACTTGAATTTTCCCACAAGCGTAAACCATGCGTGTTACAGGACTGCTGACACTCGCTGCTCTTCCTACACACCAGTCAATTGCTCGATTGTGACGAAGCTGTATATGACCCGAGCAAATATATCTGTTATGATGTCTACAATACGACCCGACTTTGTCCGATCATTCTTGGATTAGAGACTCTTCCATTTAGTACAGCTTGCTATGTCAACCTTCAGTACACGTGGGTCATTTCCTCTATCTCTTCTATGTTCCTGCCGAGAAGATCGTCACTGACAACAATAGATGCCATTACCCCCAGATGGAATGAGCACAACTGCGCTTGTATAGCGAGACCGGATCAGGTGTATATCAACTCCAAGCCTCCAACCCCGAAGCTCCCCTCAATGAGAAGTTCACGGCTAGCATCGATGGACACTTCTACTTTGGCTTGATCTCAAACATCGTAGCGACTATATACCCTTACCAGGACAACGATTACGTCCACCCCAGCTCCAAAGGCGTGGACCAAATTATCTACGTGCAGTTGAATGGTGCACTCGCCTACACAATGGGAATTCCATGCTCGTGAACTTGCTCTGTTGGAACTATGGCGGACCAGACTACGGAGGTGGCAGAATATTGGGACCGAACGGTATGACCTGGATGGCTTGCCTTGCTGAGGTAAAAAGTCAAATGTTTGCGAAACTGCCCAGCAAATTGTTTGCGGCGAACTGCATCGAGATCTACATCTCAGCACATTTGTACATCAATTAATGCCATCAAGCTGCTCTTGAGTAACTAGTTACAACAAGTTTATCAACTTTGGGCGGCTGTAGTTAAGGTATCCAGAAGCATTCTTGCCAAAAATATAATCTCCTATAATCTCCAAATCAAATATAATCTTTTCCACGAGGAATTCGTGCATGAGGCTCACTGAAAGGTGCAAAAAAATGATGCACTGGCCGAGAGTCGAACTCGGGTCGGTCCGAGCTTATATCATGAGGTTCACGATTCATGGCAACGGACCATTATACCACTAAACCACCAGTGCCAATTGTTGAAAGTTTAATGTTGCACAACAGCCATCAATGTGAAATCAATATGGAAGGAAGATCCACCCGAACATTGTCCATACGCTCATGGGAAACATGACAAACCGAGACATAAGGCAGATAGCAGGAAATATTTTTGGTTGGTGGGGGGCGTCGAGCATGGGATACTGAGTATAGGATATATACAATGCAGATTGTCAGAGCTAGGTAGAATTGACAAAGATGAGTTGTTTTTACGTCGCCCAACCATGGGCGTTTCCGTCCTCAGTGATCGAGGTTTACGAACGCAATCTAAACGGGCGGATGAGCATAGAAACATATCCGCACCTGAGTCGAGTCCATTGGTACCTGATGTGTGCCATGTGTCCGACAGTTCCTTTTGTCGCTTGATGCTATCAATGAAGGATTCTATACCTGATTGATGCCACCAGTGCTCTATTTTGAACTTCGATGTCAATTCCAGCAAATGAGAACAGGTGTGATATGAGTTAATTTCGAGACAACAACACCTGATCCATTTGATGGGAGGAGACTGCTTGTAAAGGTATGATAAGCATGGTATACGATGCGATTTCAACAGGTAGTGGATACACTAGGGCTTATCATGATCACAAAAGCCGTGTGATGGCCTGACTTCTGAAGTGAACCCACAGCACATGCTTCGCTATCTGATGCGAGACATTCCTCGGCGTGTAGATGCAAAATACAAGCATAACCACAGTGCTCCATAAGGAGCTTAAATGACGCAAGCGGAGGTATGCGTCAGATAAGCTCGTGATATAATCGACTGAGGTGTGGCTGCCGTGGTCAGACTACACATTCCTAACCTCAAGTATGACTGGTTTCACATGATCGTTATCAGTTGCAGTTGGATCTTGCATCTGATCGACTTGCATCTGTCTTTCGTTCGCATATGCGAGCATTGTTGGTGGAGCCATGCTCTTCCTTTGCGGGGAACGCCTCACACGCACTGAGCTAGGCGTTTTACAAAAACAGTTCTAGCTAAGGATCGAAGCGCCTTGTTGGCTTGAAACGCAAACCTTAACCAAAAGGGAACCACCAACGGCCTCGTGACACCAAAGAGTCAGGCTGGAGACGTGCCCTGTGGCGAAGTCTTAGCCAGCGATCATGCACGACGCAGGGTGTTGAGGGTAGCTTTTGCACGTTTCAACGAAGACGTAAATCTAGTGGACGGAGAGGAAGGTGGTGCGAGCAATTGTCGGTGAATTGCGGAGCCAAAACAGGATGCGGGGCTCATTAGCGTCATTAGCGTGTCACGAGATGTGTGGGGCGCTCGAGCGGTCCGCAGAAATTTGCCGCCCCACCATCACACACTCACATTCTCGTAACAGTTCTCTTTTCCCTCCCCATTCACATCTGTTCCATAAGGAGTGACGCTACCAACCATGCTGCTCTCGTTATAGCTAGGCGAGGCCGTCGGGTCGGGTGGTGTGTCTGGACGGAAACGGCAACATTCCTCGCACAATGGGATTTTGGACAAGTCCGGCAGCAGCTGCGCCGGCCGCGGCAACGACCAGCGTCGACGACGAGCCCCAAGCAGAGGCTGACGAACCACCTGATGGAATCCGACTGTCCACGGAGCGGCCTCGGCCTTCCCGCCGTCCGGAATCGCTCTTGACGCGCCAGCTTCACTCTGAGCCAGACGTCAGCGATGATTCTCAGGCTCTCAGCACGTCTCCGAGCTACCACAGCGCCCTTTCGGTTGCCGACCTCACGAGCGACGACGAACACAGCATGACGAGTCCTGCGCTCAGCCCTTCGCCCTCTGCGACTGCGTGGGACAAGGAGGTCCGCATTGCGGGCCAGGAAGCAGTACCTTCACACACTGAATCTGAGCGGTCGGTGGAAGCGACGCTCGGCCGAAAGAGATGCATCATGTTTGCGTGTGGCAAAGACAACACGGCTCGGCCGAGCGAAGCTGTTGCACACAATGGCGCAATCCGTTTCGCGAATCCAGCCACATGCGACGCCAAGGAAGAGCCACGGAAACGTCCCACTAGCCCGCCACCACGTTTGCGGCCGTATAGTCGACCGTTTCGGGGCTCAGACAACACCGTGGCTCGGCTGTCACTGACCGCGGTACGGAAGCGGTCTGTCGTCGACATTGTGGCCCAGGTTCCATCTCGGAAAGCCTCAGTCGACTCCAACTTAAGCGTGGGAGAAGCTGCGCGCTTTCACGAATTTGCCAGCAGCGACGATGAACCTGAGGAGTGGGTACGGGAAGTCACATGTCATCGCAGTCGCCTGACGATCCGAGACACGCTGCAGAAGGAGCATGTGGTGCGCCAGGCCTGTGAGGAGGCAGCAGAAGAGGCGGTGGCCGCGGAAGACGCAGAGAAAGAGTCGGATGACGGGTTTCATTCGGACGATGAGAGCGGCTTCGCATCAGACTTGGACGACGACAGCGACAATGATTGGTGGGTTCCTGGTGCTTCCACCGCAAATACATCTGTCGATTGGGCACACCACACCCATTCTGGTACGTCGTTGAACTCGGGACGGTCTTCGCCATCGTCTCGCAGTCGGCCTGTGTCGATGATTTTGAACGATCAGGAGCTGCCGGACTCGACAGACTTTGTTTGCGGTACGCTGGATGAGGACCAAGCTCTGGAACAGGCCTACATTACACGTCGACAGGAGATCAAAGCAGCGCGTTACCCATCAAGACCGCAGGATATTGATCCGTCGTTTCCTACTTCGGACCCGGAACTGGACGAACAAGACGACGACTTGATCCAGGTTGAATGCAGCGGAGACGAGATGGACGGGGAAGTGGAGCGTCCAGTGCGAAGACTATCCAAAAGCAAGGGCCACGCTCTTCGATCTCCTCCGCCAAAACAGCTGTTTGGTCAATCTCCGCGTCGTCTGCGCTCGCCACCAAGAGCCCGACTGACATCGCCATGCGCTTCTCGTCGACCTTCTTTCAGCAACAATAGCCAAATGCCAATGGGCTTGGCAGTGCGGCCTCAACCAACCCACACTTCATCCTTGCCTCGCGGCGGTGCACGACTTCTGATTAGCCAAATGTGCAGCCAATACCTCTCTGATGAAGGCGAAGCATCACCCAGTGAGACACGGCGACGTGGGGCGATCGACATTGTGAAAGGACTAGAGAGGAGGCGGGAAAGACGCAAGGAAAAGCTGCGAAGGAAGCACGAGGCTAAAGGGGATAAGGCTCGATTCAAAGTCAAGCCGGGAAGGGGCGCAGAGAGGATGAGAGAGGTTGGTCTGGAACTACAAAACCACCGTCAACATATCCTGTCTGTATGAAACGATAGATTTATGAAATTTCAAAAAAAAAGTATATATATATTTCCCACTTACCCAGCAAATTGCAAAGCAATATGCCCAACACCAGCAGCTTTCCCCTCATCATCACAATCCACCTTCCCTTTCCCAATAACATTATCCACCGGAGGCGGATCCTTAAACGCCCTAACCGCAACACAAGAATCATCATCCACAACGATAATGATCCAAACCCCCACAACCCCCGCCGCATTCAACAACGGCACACAGCGAATCCAGCGATGTCTAAACTCCTCCGTCTCGTTCCTTTCCCGCTCCTCGGGTTCATCCTCGGGTGTAGGGGACTTCATCCCGCTGCTCCCCGGTCTGGGACGGGTAAGCCATTTTACTTTTGCGGTGATGCCGCGGCCTTGCGTGAATGCGTCTGATAAGCTCGTGCGTACGGAGTCGGAGCCGCCAATTCGACTTAGGAAGGGGGATTGGAGGATTCCGGGGACGCGGAGGGTGGGAGAGGTGAATAGGATTCTTAGGGAGGGCGAGGGGCGAATTAGGAGGTACTGTTCCCTTTTGTTAGTTGGGTGGGAGTGATGGGAAAGGGACATACTTGATCGAAGATTCCGAGGTGTGAGAGGGTCGGAGAGGTGGGTTCTTTGGGGAGGGATAGGTTCTCGCTGCTGCATGAACTGATTGGGGTTGAGAGTTCGCTTTCGATTTCGTAATCCGATGGATAAGTTGTGATTGTGGTTGTGGTGTTGGTGGTGGTGGTGGTGTGCATTCGTCCTGCGAAACGTCGGACGGTTTCCTGCTCTGTGGCTGTGAGCATTTCACTCAACCCCCTTAGTTCGTCACGCTTTTTGTCATTGGGGGAATGCAGAGGCCCGAGGCCGGTTGTGGTTGCGAGGAGGTGTGAGACGTCTGTTGCGACCCCGAGAAAGTATTTCAATGCTCCGCGGGAATCGACCAGGGGTGCGATGGTGATGAGGTTCATGAATGGGCTGCCGTCTCGTCTGAAGTTGAGCACAAGCTCGGTGATTTCCTTGCTACAGGAACATGCCTCAGCCATTCGTCGCTTCGCGGCATCGGTCGCTTTGTTGGTTGCAGGTCCTTGCAGAAATCGACAGTTTTTCCCGATGAGAAAGGACGGGCTGTACTGTGTCATGCGTGCGAATTCTTCCGAAATAAAGACAAGGGGAGTGTCTGCCCGGCTTGGATCAGCCAGACAAAAGGCCTCAGCCAAGTTGTTGGATGGTGCCCCTTCGGTGCGCTGCGTTATGCTGTTTAGCGCACTTTGACGCATGATTTTCGTCCACACGTGGACAATGTAACCCGGTAGCTCATCTACCAGAAGATTAAAGGCCTGGGAAGCCTTCTCTTCCAGTACAGGATTACGGGTGGGCGGAACGCGGCCTTGCGTAAGAGGTAGTTTGGCATTGAACTCCAATGCTTCTGCTACTGCGTTGGAGTAGCGAATTGCACGCAGAGCCTTGAGGGCATCCAGGTAGTAGACCAAGATCGGAATGGACTGCGGTCGACGCTGATTGAGAGAGCCGATGAACTCTCGAAGCTGCTTTGGATTATCGAATATGGCTTGCAAGTGTGCCTGGCTGAACACTTGTTCGGCTTTTTTCTCCAGTACGTTTACTTCAGTCTGATGTGGAAGCGAGGGCGGTAGGAGATCAAACGATTCTGGGTCATCTTCCATGACGGACTCAAGTGTTGAAATATCAAC